TGCCTACGTCACGCTGCCTTAATACTCGTAGTACTAGTAGTAGTAAGGCCAAGAGGTGACAAACAAAAGTCGCGTCTTGACGTCGAAACAAGGACAAGGAAACGAACCCATCGAGTTGGTTGGTCTAGGAACTAAAATTGTAAAAGAAATCAGCGATCGCTGAGATAGAAATAACCGAGGCACCCATCATCGCTTCTTGGCAGGCGACTACATATACATGTAAAGCCGAACAACAGTACAGGCACAGCAGTGGCCAAGCAAAATAATTATCAGCTACGGCTTCTCCTTTTCTCACAGCAGTGGCCAAGAAAAATATCAGCTACGGCTTCTCCTTTTCTACAAAGCAAAAACTACACTTGAACTCGGCGACAAGTAGCAGTTTATTAAATTTTGAAATAAAATTAAATAATAAGTCTCGCTCCGCTCGCGCGCTCCTCAGTCAAAATGATGCTGTAGCTGTGTTCACTCAGTACAGTAGTCACTGCAGGTTACTTTGCTGCTACTGGAAACACGACGAGTGCAGGTGACGCAACAGTTGAACTACAGTGTAATTACTTTTGTTTGTCACCACTTGGTCAAGTAATTTGAAGTATACTAAACTGTCACCTACTAGTTACATAATACGCGTTGTCAAGAAGCTGTGACGTAAAACTTCGAAGGCCTTTTGCCTGGAGGTGGAGGATGAAAGTAATGATGAGGAGGCGTTTGCTGAAGGGGGCAGCCTACCCATAAATTTTATATGGCATTCAATTGACCGTAACTTTGGTGTTTCTCAGTGGATTTGAGTGAAATTTTGACCACACACTCCTGCCACTATGCTGGCCCTCAGGACATGATTTACAAGTTCTTGCGCCTCACTGACAGGCTTTCCAGGCCGGAAAAACTCAAATTTCCGGCATAGTGCCACGGTGTGCGAGCCACCCAGGAGCCAAACAAATGCATTTACATTTTTTTCACATTTTCGTGCCCATTCTGTCCGTGCGCGGGACCCAAACCTAAAACAAGTCCAGAAGCAGCCATGGGTGGTGGGGTAGGGCCCCTCAACGTGGCCCTGGAATCTGTCACAACGGAACGAGTGGGCGTTCTCTCGCGGACTCCCACAGACCCAAGTCAATTTTTGAATTTTTTTAGGTTTAGGGTGTGCTACGAGGTCGTACCTTTGATACAACATCCAGTGCTGGGACACCCACAGCAAGCCATTTCCACAGCGCTGCACACCAAATCCAGGATGCCCTCAGAAACCGGCAAAGACTGCCACTCACGTTTCACTACTGCCTAGTACTGAATCCTACCTGACTTCTTGACACGACTCAAACTTGCCAAAGTCACTAAATCAACGTCAACTACAATAATCAAGCCACATATCTGCAACGTCACGAGGGTGCTGGCAAAAGTCCTGCTGCACGGCGGCGGGCTTCGCCCGCCGCCGTGCAGCCCAATACGTGGTTTTTTAACGTGATTTTTTGGACTTTTTTGGACTTGGGGCAAAATTCTGCACACTTTCGCGTGTTTCCATAATACGACAAGTTGCGCACGGTCTGCTCACATTCAAATACAGTGCTGCCAACAAATGACAGCATGCAACAAAAAAATCTTTCCTTGCAAGGGCACATTTTCGGCCATAACTCTTGAACGGCTGGTCAGATAGGGACACAATTTTCAGAGAATTTGCAGCTATTCATGCTCTTTCAACTGACGTAGCACTCAATATGAATTTACAAATTCGATTTTTCAGCGAATTTTTGGGTAGTCTGCCACCTTAAAAGCATTTTGGTGTCCAGTCCAGAATAATGTCCGTGTTTGATGATTCCTGGTTTTGTGTTATTCGTTGCGCACGTTTCGTCAAGCAGGTACATGATTGTATTGGAAGCTGTGTATATTCGAACTCGTGAGTCGTGACCCTGTGCTTTGTAACAGATCACGTTCATCCACACCTCCACCGGCACAGTATCCCATTCATCTGCCACTGCCTTTCTCACATACGTGTACAATCATGTACACTACATGTACATGTATGTTCACACACTGGGAAGGGGTAAACTTCATATTCACACACTGGGAAGGGGTAAACTTCATATTCACACACTGGGAAGGGGTAAACTTCATATTCACACACTGGGAAGGGGTAAACTTCGTTTTTTGTACTTATTAATTGTTTTGTACTTATTAATATTATTATTTATTCATATTTTAATAGGGCTCTTGCTGGCTGCTGTATTTCTCCCAGAAACCATATTACCTACATGTACATGTACATGTATTATAAATGTGTGTTAGTTATTACATTTTATGTGACGGCGTTCCACTTATGAAAGTCATAAGAAAACGTTGAACTTTTTTTGCTGTTGTTATGAATATGAGTGGACAGTTGATCTTATAATTATATTGCCAAAAAGTATAAGGTTTAGATCTACATGTACGTGCAGAGAAGAACAATTGAAAAATAGGTTTCATACACACATGTACAGTGTAAAAAAAGAGAGTAAATTATCGTGTCCGTTCCTGAAGGGAACTCACGACGGCAGCTAACACCCAGTAAACCCTAGCGGCAGATGCAGCGCCTAATGGTGGGGGTGAGTGGATAAGTCTCACAACCACAGGCACAAGTGCCGAGAACGACCCCATTAGCTGCATCCATGTACCCTTTGTGCCTGGCCACAAGTTCCCACTTGACTGCGGGTAGCAGCACGGCTGGAAAAACCGCTCCCATGCCCAGGTAGGACTTGAACCAGGTACCTCTCGTATCTCAGT